TTCTCATGTGCAAAAACGTCCAAGGCTTAGTCCGCTGTGCACCTCCCCTTCTCTACCATATCCTCCCGTACCAACAGCGACGATGATGATGGTGAATGTGGTCATCTTGATCATTCGATGTTGATTATGATGCGCAAGCCTGAATGCTGTTGAGCGCCAGCTTGTGTCACCGCCGTTGATTATTGGCGAGGTTGTGGACCGTCAGTGGCAGAATCGTGGCCGCTTTCTTACACAGCTTTGCGGCACGTAGCCAGAGAGCCTGCGATGCGCTATTTCGGTTTGGGTTTCCTCTCAGGTCCGCACATCTTATGCCTTAGGTGCATCAGCACATGTGCAACTGGGATTCCGTCATGGTTCATGATGCATTCAGTTCCTGCTTTCGCTCGAAAAACGTATGATTTGCTTGTGCAGCGGGACTGCCATAGTGTGGCAGTTTGGACCCCTCAAGAGCGAAAAGCCAAAACAATGAGATGCGAAGGGGTTCCGCAGGTGTAGGTATCGTGATTTTGCCGCCGCTCTGCTCATGCAGTTCGTCTAGCCGTGCGCCATTGTCGCCGCGCCAGATGGTCAGTCACTTGTTCGCACCAGGACCGCGTCGAAATTCACTTTTTGGATGATGCGTTGATTGACACCACCTCACGCGAAGTCATCTTAGGTGTGAAGTGGATATCCTTAGCACTGGCCCGGCTTGGCAAAAGGCGGGATGTGGTGTCGGCCTTCTTCCACCTAGCTCTTTGTTGCCGCATGGTGCAGCATCTCGAAACTCCCATGATCTACAAGATTAGAAAGCTTGCTCGTTCGTGTGGTGATTTGAAACCCCCGAAACGAAAGTCTCTTCCCCAAGGCTTATCATTAGGTTTAGGATTATGGGTTTCAGGGTTATAGGTCAAAGGGTCTTGCGTTTGTCCCTAACGGGGCGTCAATGCAGACTTCAACCAGCTAAGCCCTATCCAAAGCCCTGGGTACCCGAAAGCCTTTACACCGTACTCAAATTCTGAGCTCAGGACGCTGCACTTGCGTGGCTTCTCGTCTTGACCGTCGTCTCGGTCATTGTGATGCATTTGGCCTCCGCGGCCGCAACATGGCAAAACGTGATCTGAGTGTAGCTACGGCTGTGTCCTGATGGCTCAACCTAAACCCTAAACGCTAAACCCTAAACCAACCTGTAAAAGGTACCAGATTTGTTTTGGAAACTCAGGCGTCGGAGGATGTCATCTACAGTGCTGCTGCCTTTCTCGCCGCTTGTTGTCATGAGCCTGGCAGTTTTTTGTTGTCCATCTTTTTACCTCGGAAAACGCCTTGCAGGCCATTTCGTCTTACGACCACTCCTGCCGCACGTGCACCGGATCAGGGCTACAAGAGCTGAACCTTCTCCTAACGAGCAATATTCTGCTTGCAGAGCTTATGCTCATCTGCACCGGGACCCGTCCATCAGTTCTGGCAGCCTGGGCAGCAGCCCTATCATGTATGCTGTGCTGGAGAAACGTGCAACCGGAGTCGGCAATGCTCGTCTGGTACGGCCTTGGCACTTGAGCTGGATGGTTTTTTTGTCACAATTACGACACCTTAGATGCATGAAACTCGGGTGCATGCAACCCGAGGCATATATATCCTGTCTGGCAACAACTCCAGCCAGATCAAGGTTGCTGAGGAATCGCCACATTTGCTACTCAACCGGTGCTACCCGGCATTTCAGGGAGGTAAGTGTTAGGTGATCATCTGTGGGATCGCGACCCCAAACCCTACATACCAAGGCCTGCTAAACCCTTGACCCAAAGCCGAAGCTCCCCCAAAGCATCAACCGAATACCCTAACAGGTACACGGCCCTAAAAACATATATACATGTCCAAAGACATGTATGTATGTATGTATGTATGCATGAATGTATGTATGTATGTATGTATGTATGTATGTATATATATATAGACACACAATAACTTATTCGGATATCTATCAATACCTTTGCATGCATATATGTATATATATATAGAATACATACATATATACATACTTGCTAACCCCTCCATGAACTACCGCCGCGATAGCGCCACCACTCCTCCTACGTTTGGGCTTCTGGTGTATGACCCAGGTTTAACGTTAGGTTTTGAAGTTCCGAGGAAACAGCATACGTATGTCGGCAAAAGCCTTCACTCTCAATTCTTGCGACCCCTCACGCAGATACTCCGAGACATGATTTCTCCAACGATGCAATTCATGTCTGTTTGAATGCGCGAAGCTCAATATGAGCCCGAGTGTTATTATCTCCCAAGGTAGCCTTCACTGTAGTCTCAGATCAAAGCCCAGCAATACGTATGAATGATCGAGTGCCTTGACTGACTGCTATTCCAAAACAACAGTATCCCTAAGACTTACCCTGCCATTAGACCTCACATCGGCACCAATGGTGATAGTCATCTTCTATTTCATGTTCACCCAAAAGAGATTCCTTATAGATCCAGGTCTTAGTTCATATGGATTAAAATGCTATGTCGACTGAACCCCGTTATACATCCCCATATCTACTCTCATATCGACCTGAAGGTCAATACAATAACATACATCAGCCTGATTGGCCCCCCGATAGTAAGGATATTTCAATCCGTTTGGCAACGCGAATATTGGATCTGACTCCAAGATGGACCTTACTTGAAAACTTAATATTACCCGTAAGCTGTTCCCATTGGCAACCTTCGTACTGCACAGGATACATCCTTCCACAGCAATCCGATTAATGGTTTTAGGAGAAACCCCGACCATTGGACTCAGAGAGTTTTCGGGATGATACCAGCATTTGTTTGTTTACCCCAACATATTGTACATGGCACCCCTCTTCTCACTGTAGTATGTAGTATATGATCATCTCGGATTTGTTGTCGGACTTGCCGTATGTGTGTATGTACATTTATGTATATATGTATATACACATGCTAACCCTAAGGTTAAACTTGTACTAGATACCAACATAATGACGAGGATCGCTAACCAACACTCATGTCAATGGTTACTGTAATATTCGCCCTGACAGCAGCCCTAAGGCGATCCATAGTAGGCTTAGTACCACCCATAATTTGACCCCGATGTTTCTCTTATTCAATTTACAACCTCAGTCAGCCAGCAGAAATCGTAGTGGTAGCTGTGATAAGCCTGATATCCTGGGTCCTGGCTTGTGTTAGACCTGCAGCACTTAGCTCTGTATGTAGCCCAAAGCGGGTTCGAATAATGTACTGGCTTTTACCAATTGTATAGTATTAATGCTAAGCGGAACCGAATGCCAATTGTAATGACACCCGAACCTTATTGGCAACACTACTTCGTAACGCGCACAAACAACAAATAGTGAAATACACACTCTTTGTTAGGAACAATTTGGTGCTGGTATGACATACCTATTTTCCTAGTAAAAAGTTGGTTTTTCAGCTCAGAACCATCTTGTTCCTAGGAAAAAGTTGGTTTTTCCACCGAAAACAAACTTTTTCCTAGGGAAAACCATAAAAGCCATCTTTTGGCAAATTATACGGCCAGAATCCAAAAAGATTTTTGGGTTTTCGCTAGGAACAATTGGTTTTGCCGCCGAAAAACCATCTTCCCCCCAGGCAAAAACTGGTTGTTCAGCCCAATACCATCTTCTTCCTAGGAAAAAGTTGGTTTGTCCGCCCAAAACCATTTTTTTCGTAGGAAAAAGTTGGTTTTTGTTTTACTGAAAACCAACTTTTTCCTAGGAAAATGTTGGTTTTTTGGCCCAAAGCAATTTTTTTCTTAGGAAACCGTTGGTTTTTCCACGAAAACCAACTTTTTCCTAGGGCAAACCCAACAAACAATCTTTTTCAAGTTTGGCCGTATAGTTTTCCAACAAATGCTTGTTTTTTTTTGGGGTGTTTTTCCTGGAAAAAATGGGATTTTTCCACCGAAAACCATTTTTTCCCGAGGAAAAACTGGGTTCTTCTAGCGAAAACCATCTTCTTCCTGGAAAAAGTTGGGTTTTCCTCCGAAAACCATGTTGTTTATAGGAAAAAGTTGGTTTTTCTGCCGAAAACCGTTTTTTCTTAGGAGAAGGTTGGTTTGTCCACCGAAAACAAACTTTTCCTAGGGAAGACCAAAAAACCATTCTTTTGGAGTCTGGCCGTATAGTTTTCCAACAGATGGTTCTTTTGTTTTTTTTGTTTTCCCCAGGAAAAAGTTGGTTTCTGATTGGAAGAGTACAGTGTTGCCGTTAAGTGCGTGCTCACGTCGAATCCGGACGAGGTGCCCGGCGGTTGGTTTTTGATTGGAAGAGTACAGTGTTTCGGTTGAGTGCGCTCACGTCGAACCTGAACGAGTAAACGGGCGCTTTCTCTTGAAATGTGAGTTTCGTTTTGGGCAGTCTTGGGGAGATACTGAATCCGGACCTGCGGGAAAGGCTGGTTTAATGCGGTATTTGCGATACAAAGCGAGGGTCGGTAGTTCACGGGGGGCGCGGTTACAACATACTTCTAACTATTTATCTACCTATCTACTTATCCATCTATCTATCTATCTTTCTTTCTTTCTATCTTTCTATCTATACCTACAGTACACACACACACATATATATATATATATATATATACATACATATATATATATATGAACATACTATACACATACATATACACATATTTCAATCTTTTTAAATTATCTATCTATCTATCTATCCATCCATCCATCCATCCATCCATCCATCCATCCACACACACACACACTCACAGATGCTCACGTCACACACGCTCAGGCTCAGGGCATGTTCTTTCAGGCTCTCCGAGGCCTCGAAGCGAGGTAGGTGAAGCAGGCTCTGTCCCACTTGGCGTGCGACGCCCGTGCCCCAGGAGCCACAGCAGAAGCAGGCTACTCGCAAGGTCTGCTGCGGCTTAGGAGGTTGCGTGCTCCCAGACTTGAGAGCTTTGGTCAGCGACCGCACGAGACAAACAACGCCTCAGAATGCCATGAAGAAAACGCGGGATGCGATGCCTCAAGAATGGCACTGTCAGCCGATTTCTGCCTGCGGGGTTGTCGAAGTTCTTGGGCATCACAAAATGTGAAACCGCCTTCGTCTTCTTCACGGCCTCAGCACTCTCGAAAAAGGGCCGCTGGAGGGATCGACAATACAAGATCAGAAAGAAGTATGGAGACGTTAGCAAGGCGGCATTGCCCATGGCGCAGGCCACGCGGACGGATTGCAGCATCTCCTCGCGCACTGCACGGCGACTCGAGTGAGTGCTCTTGCTTCATGGGATTTCGGACTTCGACTTGCGCCGCCGCTTTTTCTTGGTCTCCAGATCGTTCTCGGAGTCGCCGATGGCGCAGACTTCGGCCATGCTGAGCTGCAGTGCCTCCAAGAGGACGTGGAGGCCAGCAGCCTTGTTTGTGCCGGGGGCCATGATGTCAATCCTTGGCTTCACCTCTCCGGCCAATAACCGCATCTTGTGACAGTCTGACCAGGTGAAGGCTGAAGCCGGGTGGCGTGGTCGGCAGCGACTGCGCATAGTTGGCCAAGCCCTTGACGCAGGCGGCCACCTGGTCACGCGCCGTTCGTCGAATCGCGGGATTGGGAGAGCTCTGCCTGGCCTGTGGCTTGATCGTGTCCATGTCCTCCGGGCTGCAAATAACACGCATCATGTTCACCTTGGTCGGGATCTCCGGGGATGCCCAGCCGCCCTTCACTTCTACAGGGTCGGGGTCCTGCAGCTTGCAGCATAGCACAGCGTTTGGATGCGTTTTGGGTGGAATCGCCACTTCTGCAGTCCAGGAGGTGCTTGTGCATAAACAGCGCGTACTCCTCGGAGCGGTCCATAACCTTGGGCCACTACACTCTCACTCCGGCGCTCCGCCGACTCTCGAACACTTCAACTTCGCTACAAGTGGCATAGTGGGCATCGCCCTCCACAAAAAGGATTGAGGCCTGGCTTGCAGCATGGGAGGTCTGGTGCCGGTGTGCGACATGCGACGGCCTTGTCCCGGTGCTCCCGGCCCCAGTCCACCATGCGCTGCAATAACTCCGGCGGAAGCGTCAAGTTGCGGAGCATCTCACCGCCCTTGCCTGCAGTTGCAAAGCTTGGCAGCACGCTTCTGGGAAATAAGTTGTGCCTTTTACGGTGGTGCCGTTCAGGTAAACCCCGGGCATGGCATCGATGTCCAGGCCCTTCAGCACGCCTGACAGAAGAACTCCAATAAAGCATCCCTCAAAAATAAAAGCAAGGACAAAAGATATGCACGTGTTGTGGACCAAAAACGGTGCAGAACAGAAACTTTCGCTTCAATTCTTAGACTAAGTTGCGCGATGCTTTCGTGCGAGGGCTGTTCCACGGCAAACCCTAAACCCGATTAAGTTTCAGCAGCCAACAAAACAGCGCAATTGACTCCATTCTATGCTGTGTCTTCATTCATCAACCTTGGCGTCCCTTCCTCACTTCTGCGCCTCGCGCCGAGCCCAGGTCTCGTCCCGTGCAGACAGCGAAAGCGCCCCCTGCTTTTTGGTACTCTGCGATGGCCTCGAAAGTTCCAGCCGCCTGCGGCCATGTTCATTGTGGTATACTGATCAGTGTGGGAACCCCCCAAGCATGGCGCAACTTTGCTGCCTGAGTAAGAGGCCTGCATATGGTGTTCGGAATCTCCAATATAGGCACAATACCGTGTTGGTTGCCCGGTGCTAACAGACCACCACCACCACCGCCACCGCCCCCCGCCGCCGCCGCCACCGCCACCGCCACCGCCACCGCCACCACGACGACGACGGCGACGACGACTACTCCCTACTGCTGGTGCTGCTGCTGCTGCCGCTGCTGCTGCTATTGCGACTTCTGCTGCAGCTACCAGACAGCCAAAGAAGTACAAAGAGATAATTGATGCGAGGGACTGGCTTGTGATGTGGGTCCAGAAGGGTGCCATCCAAATCCGAGGCCAGCAGCTTCACCGAAGCCAGCAGGGCATCGTTGGTGATCATCAAGCCGGCCGCGGAGTCACCCTTTTCTACGACACGTGAAGCAAGAATGAGACGGTGCAGCACGGGATTTACATTGCAACGCGGACTGTTGGTGTTCTGCATAACCAGCCGGGCCAATCACCTGGTCCTACTTGGGCTCAAGCCGACTGCTAAGGTTTGAGCAAGGAGGCCGCCACCAGCAATTGCGATCGAGATCGAGTGCGTTCAAACGCACGTGAGGCTACTGGCGTCACCAAGCACCGCACCCGCACTCCGTAGTCTGAGAGGAACTCCATGGGGTCCAGCATGCGTTTCAAGAGCGCCCGCATCCTCAAAACACAGCGGAAAGACACACACCCGGAGTACCAGGCGGAGCGCCGCCGTGCTTTCTGTTCCTGTAACCCCGAAGAAGAGAGAGGAGCCGGCGCTCGCCGCGGCCAGGCTGGGCAAGGCTGGAATGGCAAAACTGCGAAGCTCTCCCTAATCCCTCTGCGATCTGTGCTTTGGCCTCAACGAAGCGTGAGACCAAGCAGGCTAGGTCGGGGCGATTGTCGAAGAGCCATTGCCTTAACACAGCCCCTGCACGGCCCTGCACCGTCCACCATCTCCACTGAGCCAAGGTCGTTTGGCTGGCGAAGCGCGGAAGCTTCTTCAGCATGTCCTCCGAGCGCAGCGCAAAACGGCTTCCCCTCTGCACCTCTCCCTGACCGAAACCGGGGCACCCTGCGGGCTCCAGCACCTCACTGTCAGAAAAGCTGCACGTGAGACACCGTGAGACCATCCACTACAGTCGAGTCTGCACCTCCACTGCAAAGAGTGGGATCAAGCCCACAATGGAGCGCAGCTTGATTGGCTCCTTGACAGAACGCTCACGGTTCGACGGTCAGCAAGCCGCCGCTTTTGGTCGCCGACCCTGCTTCCGTCTGGGTTGGCCAGCACATCGTAGTAGAACTGGGCAATCCGGCAACGAGGACCGGAGGACCGACTCCGGACGGACATGACAGCGTGACACCAAAGCCCCAAAGCCTCGTCCACAGGATCCCAGAGGCCGTGCTCAGCATTGTCGGCCAAGCGTGTCATAGCCTTTCCGTCGACGGACTGTAGGTCTGGAAACCTAAGACCTAAGAAGCCTTCTTGGCAGATGCTGACCCCGATCATGCCCCCCCCCCCCCAATAAAACGTGGCAAGGCAACACGAGCAATATGCAAGAAGTGCTCCAAAAACTTGCACGCGATGCTCTCGTACCTGTCACGGGGTGCACCATGCTTCTGCTTGCAGCACTCGCAGGGGGAAACATCCACTCCGACAGAATTGGGCTTGCTTGGAGTGAACGGACTCATTACGACGTCGGGCCTTTTGTCTAGAGGCGTGTTAAGCATTTCGGAGACTCAGGCAGCATCCGAAAGCGCGAAACTCACAAATGCCAGCAACAGCAGGGATGCTTATGGTCGGTGAAATGCCGACACAGCCACCGCGTAATTCAAGTTGCGGTACCTGCTCACGGCAGAGGCTCGACCCCTTTGGGGTCACTGCTTCCACCGGCGAGTCCAAAGTAGAGAAGAGGCCATAAGCGACAAGACTGCAAGAACAATGAAGGCCCGCCCAGGCTGTGGCGATATGCGGCCATGACAGCAAGTCGCGGGAAGGCAGTGCCCAGCCTCAAGAGAAGGCCGACCAAGCAAGTCTGCGTGCGCGTAGTTCGCTGTGCGGCCGGGGAAGCCGGGCTGTGCAACGTGGTGGCACAGCCAGAAAAGTGTCGGGATTTTCCAAGGAGTTTGCAATGATGAGAGCCGCCTCCCTTCCAAGCACCTCTGCAAGATATTCGTGGGAGCACCTGCTCGCAGAAGCCGGGCTGTCGTGTCCCACTGAAAGGAGATGACAGGCGTGAGGCAAACAACACAGTATGAAATGGGTGTGCGACTCTGCTAACTCTTCCCTCAAGGGCCCACGCACATTCGCCGAGAAGGCTTCCAAAGTGCCATACCATTGCAGGAAGCGGCCTCGACGTCAAATTCTGCCAGGTCCTGCAACATTTGATCCTGCTCTTTGTATCCTTGCCTGATCGCATGGATGCCAGGCAAAAAGCCCGTGAAGCACACTGCCATCGGAACTCCAGCCAAGAATCTACACTTGTCACTGACCACCACCAAGAAGCAAAGAAAAAGAAACAATGAGGTGCACGGCCACGTTATCAAGAAGTCACGTTCTAGGAACACGGGCTGGAAGACCAACTTGTGCTTCCGATTTGCACGGCGGTTTGCAGCAAGCTCGAAGATCTAGGTTCCAATAGCAGCTCGATGCGGTTCACTGTTGGCAAGCCATGGGCAAACAAAACGATCCCCAAAAAATGCGAGATGTCGGCCAAGCCACATACCAAAGCCTTGAAAAACAAGGGGGGCTCCACAAGATTCGAAGCTCACGGGACAGAGTGAGGCAACCGCCGATGACGTAAATGCCTCGTTGACGCTGAATCTCATCCTTTACCGCCCAGCGATGGGATCAAGGTGATGAAGGCAAGCTCTATCTAAGTTCGTCATCGTGAAGCATGGTGCAAACATATACATACAAACAACCAGTCAAGCGTCCATCTGCAAGAACGTGTGATGTCCAGGCGTGTGCCAGGTGTGGGACAAGAAAATGTCCGGTTCGCACATGGGTGTCCCGCATGCTTTAAAACCCGAACATCCCCCTCGACCTCCAAAACCCGTCGGCTTGGCTCTGATACTCAAGTTCCCCGAAGCAATTACCGGGGTGACTCGGGTTAACACAGGACCGAGGTGCGACGGCGCCAGAGCCAGCCGAAACCCCTCAAGGATGTCGACATCCACAAACCTATCAACGTGGATTCAGCCAGGACATGGGTTTGGAATGCCACCAACACTTTCGCAAAAAGGAGGGAGAGCGGGAACTACAACCAAGAGACAATGCTGATGATTACTGATCAACTTTCACGTGTGGCCCAGACGCGGCATTGTTTCTGCAAAGCCGTCAGTCAGCTGGACCCCAGCCTCACTGCCGACGCTTCGGAGCATCTCGTCGCAGTCGATGATGACTAAATCATCAATGCCAGTGAGACCCGCAGGCACAGATTCCGTGTCGCTTGCGCAACAAGGCTCACAGCCAGCTTGCGATGTCATGGCTCCGGACTTCTTTGACTGGAAAAAAGCAATCTTCATGTGGTTTCGAAGTTGAGCAATGCATCAATTCCCAAAGCGAAGCGGCGCACACGGGATTGTGCAGGGCCAATTCCAAAGCCATGCGCATCAGCGTGAGGCCTCACTGAAAAGAACGAGCTCTGAGCAATGCATTCCTGAGGCGGGACGGGAGGTAGTTAGGATTAGGGGCTGTTCTGGGATCAGGAACTGTAAAAGGCCATCCAGCTCGTGCCATCAGATTGGTTGATCATCCCACCTGGCGTGGCAGTTCTGTCGAGGGACTTTCAGAGCTCGAACGCCGGGGCTAAGGCCGTTGGGAAAAGGCTGGCTGCGATCCACCACGCCAATGTTGTCCAAGCCTGCAGATCTGGAAACCCGTCGCGCACTTGCACAGGTTGTAGCATGCACGCATGCACCTAGGAAGCCGCCCTGAAAGATGTTCCTGCCAGTTTAGGATGCTACGATAGTCCGAGCTCGGTCACCTTTGTGTGTTTACGTGACGTCCTGCCCTCGGCATCTTTGCGGTTTACCCACCACGTGAAGTTGAGCCTCTGCAAGGCTGTGCAGCGACAGCGTGAGTGACGAGTGTCTCTTTGTTCGGCTGCGGCGCATCAGCTTGTGGAAGAGCTCCTCCAAGAAGCCTCATAGGAGCTGTGTTGCGCTGCAGCTTCCGTGAGGCTCTCTTGGAGCCGCGCTTAGGTCTCCGTCGTCTGCACGGTTTTTGCGGTCCATCTGGAAAACTCTCCACACCGCCCAGGCCTTGAAATGATCACTCTACCGTGTCTGACAGAGGGTTACGACTTGCCAATCCACTTCCGAGCCTGCAGCTGAACATCTAGATCAAGGTGCATATCATATGATGAACATAGTGTATCTAGATACATACATACCTACATATCATATAATACATAACACCTACATACAACCTACCTACGTAGACCTACATACCTTGGGGCTGTCCTCGTGAACATTGAAATCTAGACGAAGTGAACACTTAAATCGGTTCACCGGACCAGGATACCAGGATAAGTCTTCCCACCAAACAAGTGTTCACCGGGCCAGGGTAAGTGTTCACCTTCCCAGCAAAATAAGTGCTCACCGGGCCAAGATAAATTAAATGTGTATTTTCCCAGCAAAATACGTGTTCACCGGGCCAGGATAACTGTGTTCTCTTTCCCACCAAAATAGTGTTCACGGGGCCAAGATAAATGTCCGCATTCCCAGCACGATAAGTGTTCACCGGGCCGAGAAAAACGTTGACTTTCCCAGCAAAATAAATGTGTTCCGGGCCCGGGCCAGGATATTACATGGTTCAAAGTTTTCCCGGCCCTTGCTTAAACCAACCCTTACTTCTATGGACAGTGGCGATAAGCTGGCAACCATATATTCGTTCTTTGATACAAGTAATGGCAGTGTCGTGCGTCTATTGTCTCTTCTTCCTCTCTCCTGCTGACACGAACTCGGCCACCAGGCATGCACCGGTGGGTTCACGTCGTTGAAATTCCACTCATAGGCTGGGAACTGGCCGTTGGGGTGCATAAACCTGAACATCGCTGCAATCGCTGCCAAGTGCTCAAGGCCCAAGGCTCCATCTGGAAAGGGTATCTGAAACATGCCAAAAACGTCCCATGTGAAGCACTTGCTGGGGTGGCGGCCTCTCCTGCAATCGACCAGATTTGCACAGATGTAGAGAAGGGGCCTACCGTTGCACGACAATCAAGCCGGCGAGACCAAGGTGATGAGCCGCAACTGCTCCTGGCAAGTCTACATTCACACATCCGTCTCGCGCGTGCCTTTACCCGGCCTTCGCAAACTGAGCATCGACCAATGCCAGCGGAAGACAGTGGAATGCCAAATCCTCAGTGCCGAAGCATTCTTGAGCATATCCCCAAACTGCAGGGCCCAGACCCAAGTAGCATACCAGGGATATTCCCACTTGTCCTCCAAGCGGCAGGCTGACACACGATTGCTTCAAAAATCTGCGTGCAAGAATTGTGTGCGCGGCACCGGCATCGAGATCACGTCAGCATTGTAAAGGTGGTCCCAGTCTTCGTTGCGACCACCTCTCTTCAATTTTAAATTTAGCCACCTTTCATTGCTCGAACCGCGGCTATCAGGGCCCCGGCCACGACTGGGAGGCCTTCCGCGACCCTTGTCGCCTCGCACGCTCCAGTCTCATGGCTCTACGGCACTTCTACGGCCCTACGATGTCGCTGCCATGTGCCTGAAAGCCAGGTTCGAATGTCGTAGTAGTATAGCCTCCCAAAGCGGCGCACTGCATCACACAGGTCGTTTCCGAAAAAGAGGCCAAGGTGCTGCTTGGTCCAGATCATGCCTGCGAGAGCCTGGCAACAGGCTGCATTTCCGACTCATCAGGCAGCTCAGCATGTGCTGTTTTGGCCGGTTTTGCTGGCGGAGTCGTTGTTCGGGAGCCCGGTTGCCAGCAGCCGAGGGCTGGCATGGTTTGGGCTAGTTTGTCAGCTTTCGCTACTGATGATGTAGCTGTCGATGCTCGCATAGGTCACCGTCACCTTCATGTAGCATATGAGGCAATATTGCTGCTTCATGCTGCTTCACCAATGGTGGCTGCGGAATGCTGAAAAAGTGTAGAGCAGAATCGCGCGCCACGTTGACCTGGCGGTGGATGAGACGTCGCTCAGAATCCGTGATGTCCTCCTGTACAAGACCATAGAACCTGCCATGGGAGAAGAGAGCGGTACCAAGCATGAAGTGACCCGCTGCTACACTGTATCCGGGGCAAAACGAGAAGTGCAAAGAGAGCAAAGTGAGGTTGCTGGCGCGAGCAGGCAATGCTTCTTACGGCGGACGCCTGTCCGCCTCTGCTCTCCGCGACTGGAAGGTGGCGTCAAAGTCCAGGAAAGCTCCTTGGGGAAAGCCTCGGCCGGCGAGGTTTCCGCACATCCACCCGTGGGCCGTCCCGTCAGGTAAGGCTCCGTCTCTTGTCGGCGCAGGTCAATCGCAATCTGAAGCTCACGTGACTGCCTGCGGCCACTTTGTGCCTGGAGAACAGCGTGCACTGGTGCGACTTTTACCATCTTCGGCGACTTTGTGCAGCTCGCCTCGTTAACAGGCCTGCTTTGGTCCCGCTGCTGCTTGACACTGCTGCCTCAAATGCACATAGCCACTCTGTAAGAGCAGGAAGATGTCCGTCTGTTGTGCAGCACAGCTGGCGGCGCACCGTGTCACCACGAATTACATAATCATGGAAACCGTCCTGCCATATTGCACAAAGATCAGCTTGTGCAATGTTGTGTGATATTATGCGACGGGCAGTCCTTGAAAGGCCCTTTGCCGCCACTGAGGTGGTGCGGGAAACCCTGGTCCAGTCCCGTCTCCTGCTCCTCAGCGAGTGCCAGACTGACGGAAAGCTCTTCGGCCGCCCGCATCTTGGCATCCCGGCACGCTTGGCAGGCTCCGGACCCAGGTTTCCACCGAAGCGGCGCCACAAGCCGAACCAAGCATTGGGTTCCAGGCAGCGGAAATCACCCAGGGCCGTAAGCGCCTGGCTGAAGAACACCCCACGAAGTGAGTCATTGACTCATCGGGACCTCGTTCTTCTCTATGGGCGCTGGCTCCTGACACGACAAAGTGCAGGGCAGCACTTGCCGTGGAAATGAGAACTGGATAACTCGTGCCTTGTAGGGGCTCAAGGCACCTGCTGTGAAGGACATGCAGTATGTCACACTGTGTCGAGGAAACGCACAGAATTCAAATGAAATTTAGGCGCTGTAACCTGCCAAAAGTGCAGGGCAATGGAATTGAAGGGAAGCAGCGAGAGACAGAGAGATGGAAGCACACTTATGCAAACGCACACATGTGTACAAGCCTGTGCATGCGCCCGGCCCATCTGACCACTTAAACGCGCTCTCCGGCGATGGCCACTCGAGTTGCATCGAAGGAATGCTCTTGAAGCATTAGTCTGGATCTTTTTGAGTAGGGTTGGGGCTTCGTGGCCTTACGGGCAAAGTGGCCTTATTGGAGCTCTTCGGAACTCTGTTCCCACCTTGCTGCGCAAGCTTGTATCGAAAGTCACGGTTCCGTTGAGATTGACGCTCTGAAAGTCGCCCTACGTGCCGCTCCCGAGAAGATAGCAACCCGTAACCTGCGGGTTGTTCAGAAGTGCCTAGCGTCAACCTGATGATAGCCGACACGTGGGCAAGGGCAAACGTGTCGTGAGCAGTGGGATGATCCAGTGAGATGTTGAAGGGCAGCAGTGAGACCAGCAGAAATGATTTCGAGTTGTCCTGGAACCCGAACACCACCTCCGAGTCGGAAACACTTGCCACAGTGGCCACTGCTTCGGACATGGACGTGTGAAACACCACGATCCTCCCTCAGAATCAGCCTGTCGGGGCTGCCCCTGCTTGGGCGGAGAGGTCGGCAAAAGACAAAACCTTTTGATGCAATGCTCTTTTGCATACTGTGGTGCTGAAGTGTTCACACTTTGGTGTTGATGTGACACGGAATCCACGGTCGGTGCCTCTGAGACAAGCAACTGGAAATCCAATCGTGTTAAATGGACCTATGCGTCCCTGTGCGTGCTGCTACGACTTTCATCTCAGAGCCCAATAAAGTCGAGGTTTATCTCCGTTGCTTCGCCATGGAGCAGGATCTTGGAATTCGGACTGCCTGCCGACTACCTGTCTGATCATGAATCATTGCCACCTAATTTGCCCCCATCTCGGGTCACATACTTGCTTCCCTGACCGACTGTCGTGACTGTCGTGTACGGTTTCAATACTTCGTCCTTACTTCGGCAACTGGGTCGGACGTGGCACATCGGTATCCTCCTCGGCCGGGCCAAATTGAAGACCGTCCGACGGCAAAGGGACACCCCCGCCAAGCATGCAGCGGCTTTCTCCCGAAACTGACAGGCACCGGTGTTTGTTTGCCGAGTTACTGGCTCGAAGATGCCAAGAGCTTTTTCACACAAGGCTCGTGTGAGCCTTTGGGCATGTAGGCATTCCCTCGGCACCGACTGAGAACCACGTCTGCCACGCCAGGTTTATCTTCACGACTGTATTGCACACCGCTGAGCCGATGTGTTGGCACTACGTGCTTCGCTGGTGATACCAGCTGAGGATGGCCTTGTGTTGTCAAAGTTGTCCAAAACCAGATTGAATGGCCAAGTGACGTGGATTGAATCCCAAGAAAGTTTCACACCTTCAGAACTGTTCGGCAATGGCTCGCTTTCCCAAGAAAGCATGCTCCCACATCGGCTTCAAACGGCATTCCACGGCATCGTCTCAGTGTCGGGTGCCTTGGAAGCCGCCGGCTGCCGGCTTCAAACCGAGACATCGGCTTCTGCCATGACAGCACTGGGATGTGTGTTTGAGTCATTTGAGGCCGGGATCAGAGATTGGCTCTGTGCTGTGGCACTTATGCTACCCCTTCCGATGCTCGCATCTGCCACCCTCCGTGGTTGAAAGGACCCTCCCGGAGCTTGCACCTCCTGCGCTTACACGGAGGTCGTTGGTCTCGTTCTCGCAGAAGATTACCTGCCGTTATAGAGCAGCACCTGTAAAAAGGTGTTGGAAGGGGGTTCCGGCCTCGACCGATGGGATCGTTTCGTCCACGTAGAGATGGAAATTGCCCAACGATTGATGCCTCTGTTCGAGAATCTGTCGACTTGCTCTTGTCAAATGTCCTGTGCAAACCGTGCCGGCTGCACGTCAGTTCTATTCTCTGCTTCTCCGGAACATAGGTCATGGTAGGCTTCGGCTTGGGGTTCTCTTTCGTCCAGGACCAGGTGTTTCGAAACCATGCCTGCAGCTGCAGATAGCGCAGATAGCTGCAGCTCTTCCGTCTGTCCCGACAATTGTCACAAGGCTTCGCTTTGGCCCCCGGCTTGTGGGAGCAGGCACAGCTCTGCCTCCTCGGCGCCGCGGTTGTAGGCTGTGACCTGCACCTGGCACTGCAGGCATTTCGGCATGGAGTGGGGGGGGTGTCCTTGGTCCAAGGGCCGCTGAGGCACCAGTGTATCGTCCAGGTCAGCTTGGGCATACCTTATGCGGCTGCTTGCAGAGCTCTCCGAATGCAGCAGGATTGCGCAGGGTGCCGCACTCGATAACGACATCGAAGTACTTGTTTTCATCCAGGATCCCCGTGTCGAGCAGCTCGTACTCCCTGCGACTGCCACAGTGGCCCTGGGGCCCTAGTCTCTTATAGTGAAGGGCTGAAAAGACCGTTGCAGCATTGAAGGTCCAAAGCCGTTGATCGGCCGAGGCACAGCAGCTGCGGGTCCTTCTTTCTTTCGAAGTTCACTCGTCGAAGCTCGTCGTAGGGATACTCAACCTGCTTTGCTTACGGTCGTCAAGGCATTATCCTGACATTGAGCCTGCGGGCCTGCGGGTACTTGTACATCATCTTCATGTAACTGTGTGTGGGCATGGCATCCAGGTAGTAATAGAGCTCCTGACAGAAGCCGCCAAGCGAATCGGGCAGAGTACTTCGGACGGATGTGCATGTCCAAGCTGCTTGTCTCCTTGACATCCTCACCATGATTACCCTGCGGATTTGACAAGCCGTAGAGCCGCTCCTGACATGCCAACGCGCGATGGACTTGGTCCACATCGCAGATGAAGGCAATGCGGACAGCGGAGCTAACACGCTGCGTTTTCATCGGTCAGGTCACCACCACCAGCTTGCCTACACTACGCCCGGAGGTCAAAGCATTGTGTGCGTCCCGTGCAGCTGACAAGCCAAATGTTTGCACCGGTGGCACCTGACGGCACAATGTCGAAACTTGTGTCAAAGTTGCAGGCTGGGGCGGGGGTTGGCGACATGAGGCTGAGCGGCTGCGATCTTGCCGCAGTCCAGCCATTCGCTCATCTGCCTGAAGTACTTCCCACACGTCTCCGTCTCGTCGGCAAAGAAGCTCCTCAGCTATCAGCAATGCTGGCAATGCTGTCAAGCTCCTCGGACTCTCTCCTCCTGCAGCCATGGGGCAAGTTGAATCCCAGCACGGCCTGCAGAAGGCAGGGAGCAGACTGAGCAGACAGCAGCACCACAACCACCACACTTTCTGACGCTCTCTCGAGATCGCCATAGGCCTTCGTGTCCAGCGTCAAGTCCATGGGATCCTCGGCTGTCAGGCTCAGGCGGCTCAGGGGAATGTGCGAACTCACGTTGCACCTCAGCTCTTGCCAAGCATCGAAGCGGGGTGTCCTGGCCAGGTCCACCGCCATGCGGAGCCAGTTCCAGGGCGAAAGCGTCCCCAAGCCGCCGTCGCACTTCGGAAGGTTGGAGTGGAAGCCGTACCTGGCCAGGGGCTTCGTACTTACCAATAAACCCGAGAAGCTCTATACCGTCAAGGTCCCACACGACCAGTCTGCCATTCTTGCCCAGGAGCTCGTAGGAGGTCTCGGGTACACATCCCGAGCTCTCGTGCAGCTGATTTTTTGGCGTTTCTTCGCCGCCGGGTGTCTTTAAGTGTTGCGACGCCATTGGCATCGAAAATGGCACGGTAGCCTTCAGGCGCATGTTGCCGGGCTGCTTTGACCTGAACTTTCGTCTGAGAGCGGGTGTCTTGAAGAGAAGCTCCAAAAGACGAAGAGCCCAGTCATCGCTGGACTTGTCGATAACGACATCCGCCTGCCAGTCGCTATGCCGCCGAGGTCGCAGGCTACTCGTCTACTCGCCCCGCTGGGCCTTGCAGGACTTGACCTTGCTTGGCTGCCCGACGACGCCAACCACGCGAAGCCCGCAAATGCGCAGGATCTGGCCGGCACGTGACGATGTCGTGGCTATCGAGTTATCGAGATTTATCGAGCTACAGCAAGCTTTCAGAAGGCTTTAGTGGCCGAGTAACTTGCAACTTCGAGCATGGTAGCTGCATACGTAGTAGCAAGGTATCAGACTCCCAGGCCTGGCAGAGCAGGTCGCCCACCCTTCCTGCAGCCGAGTGCACCAAGGCATCCCGGCCTGCCGAAGCGAAGTGGCAGACACGACCAGAATGTGGGCGCTTGGGCAGTGCTTGCATTCTTTGTGCAGAGTGCGTGATGTTGAAGGTCAAGCATCTAGAGTCTACATGAGTCTAGAGGTGTGCGTATCTGCCTGAGGCGAGAAGCTCGTTGGGCCAGGCCCCAGAGAGGTGCACCGCATGCAGCGCCGTGGCAAAGACGCAGGGCAAGGCGGCCGCCGCCTCGAAGCCCAGACCCTGGGCAGAGCCGGCAGAGCCGGCGGGGCGCGGCTTCGGGGCTCTGGCGCTCTGGCCCTGGCCCAGGCCTTCGGCATCTTCACGAGCTGGGTTCTGGGCACCACGACACCTCTGAGGCGCAAAACCCGTGGCGAAAAGGGGCGTGCAGCGTGTAAATCCGAGCCGCGAGTCGCATAGCCACCGAAGAAGCTGCAGCCGAAGACCCGATCGCCCGCGACGAGGCCGGAGTCCTCGCCCGCCAGCTCCACCTCACCTCTGCTCGCTGCGCAGAACTCTTCTGGTCTTCTTTGGATTCAAGTACCGTCTTTTCTTTCTGCATTCAGCCTGCGAGGTCGAAGCCTGGGACGATGGGCCATCCCACGAAGCGCAGCGCCGACTCGTACAAACCCCATCGGATGCAGACATCTGCGTAGTTGATGCTGAAGGCCTGGAGAATCTCCCAACAAGGGTTCCTGTGATCACATGGACAGCTCCATCGCAAAGAGGCCCTGGCCTTGTTTCGCACAACAACGAGATCAGGTCGGAGGGGCTTCGGAGGACACGTTAACCGCTGGCTGCCGAAGTCCTGAGCCACGCCAGGCCGGTCTGATGCATCCGCATGCACACATGCACCTGCAATGCTCCCACGCTAACGGTGCTCCCTCCTTCATCAGGTTGTAGCCGCACACAGCCCAAGAATCCAATGAAGCTCGCAGCTGGTCCACACCTCCGAAGCCAGCAAACAACCAGTGCTTCGTGTTTCAAGCAGATTCCGTGGTCCCGGAGGACCTGCTGACATGGCTCACCAGACCGCTTCCAGTTGCAACAGACGCTGTTCCCAGCCAAATCTTGCTGCCTCCAGGCCCCAGGATCTCGATGCACACACATCGGTCCTCTGCCAGAGCGAGCAGAGGCATTGGAATTTAGTTTTTCAGAAGCGCGGTCTCCTTGCTGTCTGCCTGCAATTTCGCCCGCTCTGCACTTGTTGTGAAAAGAGGTGGGGCAGGCCTCCGAAGTACCTATCGGAGGTCTTGACATGTGATGCGCCACCTCCCCAAATCAGTATCTCTTCACGGCCTGGCGAACGAACCAAATCCTGGGTCCGGCGGTTAACACGTCGACAGCAAGATGCTGGCATCAAGCCGAGAGTCTGTAGGTTCAGGGCCAAAGCCAAGACTTGGTTCCGCAAGACTTGCCAGTCAAAGGCCATGACCAGATTGCAGGTGTCAAGGTGTCTCGCTAGCTGTCACTAGCTTGCTGGCTTAGACTGGGCCTTGAATCAGGCTTGCACAGCTTGTGAAAAGCTACGAAGTTCTGTCCGATGGCCGAAACGCTGCCACAGGGAAAGGTCTGAGTCTGTCATGTCCAAGGATGCCGGACTGCACTCTGCAACGTTGGCCCTGTCCTTGAGGATGGGATCCTCACATGCAGAACACACAAGACTGCCAAAGGTTCCAGGCTCGTGTAGTCTCAACAGTCGCCCTTTCCTTGCCATTCCACAATGCCAAGCCCAAGCAAAGATGCATGGACCGGTCACACCAGCCAGCCAGGCCGTCCTTTGCCACTGTGTTCTGTGCTCTGAAAGGACGCGTAGTCAGGCGTAGTCAGATCACTTCACGGCAATCGCGCACGCGTGCGTGCGAGACACTTACTTACTTACTTGTTTGCTTGCTTGCTTGCTTGCTTGCTTACTTAAGCATCCATCACGCAACCACTGACCTGTCTGTCTATCGAGCCCTGCTCGATGTAATCGTGAAAGCATGGAGCTTTCGGGGTTCCGGAACCAATCGGGACTCAAGTCTCATCGGTCCGTTTGGTTTGAGTTAGAAAGTTCCGAGAAGTATCACATTCACAGTAATGATATCGACCCCAGGTTTCTGGCTTAGCCTGGTTGCCATTGCACGATTGTTTATATTCCTCGACCCCAGGTTTCTGGCTTGGCTCCATTCTCTGAACAGATGTATTTATGGACACCAGGTTCTGGCTTGGCCTGGTTGCCATCCTCTTTGCAAAGATCTACATCGATATGGCCACAAGCAGCATTGTCAAGTGTCCATGCCGACCATTGTTGTGCAGGTA